CCACCTTCGTTGCAGTGGGCTTGCCGTGGCTCATGAGCATCCCTCTGCTACTTGAAAAATTCAGCGGGCTTGCCGTTATAGCTTTGTCCAGCTTCATGGCTATTTAACTTTGTTCGTGTGCAATAACTTCGAGCTCAGTTATTGACGATTGATGGTGAAGACATCCTGGTGAGGGAGCCCTCTTGTTTGCTGGGGTTCATGAAACCTTCACCCTATTTAGCATGGACTCTGCGGTTTAGCTCCTGTTCAGCGAGACCTACACAACCTGTGTTGACTTACTATCAAGAACTTAGAGGAGTAGAATAAATAAGCTTACATGGGTTGGGGAATATGTAGAGCCAGCGGAAACTCTATCAGGTTTCTGCAGCATGAAGAAACCTGGCTGAATTCTGCGCTGATGACATCTACGACGACGCTCAAGCCTGGACTCTGAAACCTTGGTGTTTCGAACTTGCAAAACCTAGAACAAGATTTTGTGGTGTTGCAACACAGCACCCCAGCAGCGCCCCAGCCCCAGCAACAGCACCAGCAACAGCACCACCCAGCAGCACCAGCTCCAGCAGCACCGGCAGCACCAGCAGCACCAGCACCCCAGCCCCAGCCCAACCCCAGCCCCAGCCCCCCAAAACTACCACAACCGACTTGCTGGCAGGCCGGTTGCTAAAACAAATCCGGGTTAGGACACAGGAAAAACGAGCACATGCTGCGCACAGGCTGTCTGGCTACTACCCTAAGGCTCCATAGTAGTTTCTTTTTGGGGTTCATATTTAGAATCCTATAAGGTAATCCCGAAAAGGAACTACTATGGAGCCTCTGGGTATCCGCAGACCGTAACTCACAGAGACGTAGAAACCCTTCAATGTGCCTCACAAGGGTGAAAGCATAAAGCACCCCCGAGCAGTTTGCTGTTTGCCCAGGTACTCCCATGTGGAATCCCTCAGTCCTGAATCCTAAACTGAAATCTGAACCTCCGATGAACTGTGCCCTAGCCCTCCTCTAAACCTGACTTCCTCGAAACGTGCACAAAGTCGGGCTTGTGAGGTACACAGGTAGTGGCTTCGACACCATCTCGGAAATAGGCCGGTGTCTGAGGGGATCGAAGGGTGGTAACTCGTACCTTTAGGGTTTAGGGTTTAGGGTTTAGGATTTAGGGTTTAGGGTTTCTTCAAGGGGCCAGCCCTGACTGATAACACTAACCCCGACAAGCCCTAAACCCTTGCAAACCCTTGGCCCATGGCCCCTTCTTCTTCGATGATTGGTTTTGCGCCCAGAGTTCCAGATGTTTTGGGAGAACTTTTTAGAGTGAAGACATGTGAAGAGAGTATTCATATACGAGCTTGTGCTCTCAGTAAAGCATGAGATCACATTCGAGGGAATGTTGCGGATGTCGAGTTTGTATATGCGGATCAGTTTAGTCAGGCGGGTGTGAACGACCAGAAAATATTGAACAAGCAAGTATTACACAATCATTGCCATGGTCTACGGGGGTTTTAGTATTTGAGCAGGTTTTCGTTCAGGGTTGGGGTCTATAGCCCAGCTTAGGGTTCCAAGTATGCGTGACTTATTATTCAGCTATGATTCTCCAGATCCCTCATCCGAATCGTTCGGTGACCCTAAATCCTCAACACAAAAAACACCAAGCCCCAAATCAGGAACCGAGTAGAACTTGGGTTCGTTTCGGTTCTCACCCAGCCAGGCCTTACATAAGCTACACAAATAACAGCTTTTGTCGTTAACAGAGGTAGGTTGTTAGGGGGTCAAGATACATAGATCTGGGTTCTAGCGTCGTACAGAAGAAGTCTTGCTTCAAAACCAAGAGGAATGAGCCCTACAAGTTTGGCAAATAAATGAGGAACGCGGCTGCTCATAGCTTATCATAGGCATTTTCCGGTAACGTTATTCTTCTAGGATGCCCAGTAGTACCCTTGTTCCCTTTTGTGCAGTCCTAGGTTCCTTATAAAGTTACCCAATACCAAAAAGAGAGGCCTTTTTATTCTTAGGTTACTGGGTATCCGGGTATCCTAGGTAATGTTGTTCATTAGGGTTCCCGAATACATTTGCAGTATAGAAACCATGCAAAAGCCCTGGTCCTTGTCTGATGACTTAGGCTTGATTGTTGCCTTGTCCTGAGGTGTGTCATAGTGACCGTGCTACCCCTCAGTGGACAATATTTCGACGGAGCCCTCAGCCGCAGACACTCCCAAGGTTTGACCCTGTGACTTGTGGCCATGCTCCCCAGTAGTACCCTTGTGCCCTTTTTCCTTTTGGGTTCCCTTGTTAAAGCCAAATATTTGGAACAAGGGCATGCAAGTTTGAAGGAAGCTACCCGGGAACCTATGTAAGTGAACATCGTAGAGGTTTTTCTCTCCGAAAGTTGTTGCTTTGTCTCTAAGCTTGAAGCTCGATCCCCAGAAGCTGCCATCCTACTGTTGAGTTGGAGTCGCCCTGCCTCATGCTTTGAAGGCATAAGCACTGACATATGACGCAGGCACGCACTTGAATTAAGGACCCTTAGCAACAGCTTTCGGGCCCAAAGAGCTTACTGTCGAGTGTCTGAGAAGGTAGTTCGAGCCCTAGGGTAGCACCCTTCCGGCCCAAGAATCTCTAAGCCCAATACGCTAAACACTAAATCCTAATCCTTCAAAAAGACGCAGGCGGCTTGGCCACCTCGTCGATCATCAACTTCATGGTGCCGCTGATCATGCATCTCAGCGATTCAGAGGATGCGTGCGGGAAGTAGATACTCTTTGTTACACTCTCTTCGGATTGCTTGTAGTTTGTTCTCTCAATTTTAAGTCGTTTTGTGGTCCAGTTTCAGGAGCAACAACTAACAGCCTGCACGTTTTTTGTGATTATATATGTACCTTCCGAAAGGAGCGAGCTTAGATACAGGTCGGGGTTTATGGACGCCTTAACATTCTCAGCTGCTTTAGCACGACCGTTGTTGTTATGGTTGTTGTCGGACAGAGCCGTCCGCTGAGGACTGAAGAAGTAAGATAGGGTTTGTGGGATGTCCCTCCAACACAAGTTTTCAACGTCAGACCTTAAACCCCGGGAATATCGGTACTTCTTGTTTTCGCTGTGCAAGACCCTCAAGTCCTCAGGCCCCCCGATCCGCGATCCTAAGTCCTACATAGACCCTACAACGTGCTACATGTTTGGGGGCTGGGATTTACCTCAAGCCGACTTTGCTTACTATTTCAATGTATCTTAGTGCCGTTTCTATGTACAGTTGTTTGAAGAGGTACCTCTTTGGCGCCACAGGTCGTTCTTGTCGGAGACTTCGGAGAACCGGCGAAACCCCATAAGCCCCTCCACGCCCCGAGGATCCTCGGGTCCTATAAACCTCGTAGTAGAGTAGGTAACCTTTAACCCAAATACCTTCAAAGGGGTCCTTTAAAGGGTTCTATATGGGTTCTATATAGGGTTTAGGGTGTAGGGCTTATCGGGACTTCGGTTTCTTTCCTCGTAGTAGAGTATAGGCAACCTTTAAGCCCTTTTTTGGGTAGTATAGTCCCTATATAATCCCTATATACCCAAAAAGGTTAACCCTTTAGTTCCCCATGATACCCGACAAGTAGGAAACGCAGGATCCCGGATGCTTATAAGGTTCCGTAACCCTCACGCACCGAAAACTTGCTGTTTTCGGGGCAAGGGAGTCGGAAAAAGAAGCCTAAATCCTAATCCCCTGAACCCCGGGCCTATAGACCCCAACCCCCTAAATCCTAGGCCCGAAACCCTACTCGAACTGACTCAAGGCGTCGGTTGTTTGGGGTTCGGCTGCATCGTCTATCCCAAGCTCCGCACTTAACATTCACCTTTCGGCTTGAAGCAGCCGACGAGGGACCCTGACACTTCCTCCAGCCCCATAGTTTCCAAATTCGATGATCGTTTGAACCCGCAGCTGTGGGTTCTAGTAATTCTAGTAGGTTCAAGCAAGGCAATTAGTGGAATCTTCACATTTGGAACCCTGAACCCGAAGCCTTACAAACCCCACGTCTGGGCCCCACACCCCATGTCAGGTATGTGGTGGCAGTCGGTCGCCGAAAGGAGCGAGAAGAGCTCTTGAGCTCTGCTTTGGCTGCAAAATGACCGCGAAGGGTTTGGTATTTTAGGGTATGGTGTTCGGGCTTAGGACTTTGTGTTTCGGGGTTAGTCTAGTTGAGGTTTATGGTCTTTGAGAGCTTACTTTGCCAAGCTTGCGGCAGAATCATACCAATGCAACAGGCACCCAGTCACGCTTCTGTCCTAATATACTTGGTGCTAGAACCGCGTGCGATGCGCAGCAATGACCCTGCTGGTGTTAGGGTTTTGATAGTGGCCCCAGCGATTAGCCTACAGGAAGCACTGGCCTAATTGCAGAGTTGGTGCAGTTAGCAGTTAGCAGTGATGCTACTGTTGTAGTCCCTTTGTGGTCGGGGTGGTAGTGGTAGTAGTAGTAGTAGTAGTAGTAGTAGTCGTAGTCGTAGTAGTAGTAGTAGTAGTAGTAGTAGTAGTAGTAGTAGTAGTAGTAGTAGTCGTAGTCGTAGTAGTAGTAGTAGTAGTAGTAGTAGTAGTAGTAGTAGTAGTAGTGGTCGTGGTGGTGGTGGTGGTGGTGGTGGTGGTGGTGGTGGTGGTCGTGGTAGTGGTAGTGGCAGTAGCAGTAGCAGTTGCAGTAGTAGGAGTAGTAGGAGTAGTGGTTAGACGTAACTTAGAAGTAGCAGTACTAGCAGCAGCAGAGGAAGATGACCTGTTTTTTGCACAACCTTAATATTTCACAGTGCAGCTTGCGCATAACTACTACAGAAGCCTTGCTGAAAGCTTCACCTGCTGCCGTGTCTCCATCAGCAGTGTGCATAAGTCTGTCCATGTATCAGTTTGCTGACGCATCTGGTCCTACTAGCCTCTAGTATATTTATTGTGCGTCTACTATCTATCCGTCTATCCGTCCGTCCGTTCCTTTGTCCGTCTAGCTGCTAGCTGTTTAGCCACCCATATATGGGTACTTGGAGCCTTAGGGCATGGCCGTGCCTCGCTCGGGCAGCATGGTTGCAGCACACTTCCGGAAGCTATTATGGGGTCGTTATAATAATAAGGATCGTATTATTTAGGGTACTATGTTAGGGTCCCTTTTTTTCGGAAACTCAGGATTGGGCCAGAATGCAGCACTCACGAGAGCTCTCGTGAAAGCCGGGGCCTTTGCACCGCAGCTGCCGCTTGGTGAATCTTAGGCTTAGGGATCCCTTTTTAATGTGTTTTCTGCGTTGGGTTTCTTAGTGCTTTGGAAGGGGGTCCCTTCTAACCGAGTGTTGTTCTTTCCTTCTCAGTGAAACCCTACAGACGAAACCCAAATTCCTACTCAAGCGCATCCCTAAACCCTAAACCCCTAGCCCCTAAACCCCACACCTTAAACCCTAAACCAACTTTCCTTAAATCATAAGCCCTAAACCCTTCTTGCTTCTTTCTCAGACAGCGAGGCTAGACCAAGCCGTGGCCCGACGCGTGGAGCCAAACGTGAGGCCGGGTTTAGGGTTTTGGGTTCACGGTTAGGGTTTTCAACGGTCCATGGAGTTTATAGGGGTTCCGCTAAGGTTTCCTTGAAAGGCTGTTTTAAAGGTTCCTTCGAAGCGGTGCACGGGGTCCATAAGGGTATTGTGGAGGTGTGCAAGTCATCCTGACAAGCCTTAAAACCGCTGAAACCCTGAAAACCTTAACTCACCCAGTGTTTTCACGGGACATCCTCGCCATGCGATAGGTTTCGGCCACATAGGAAACCGAGCTGCCCGCCCAGGTGACTACCTGGGGGCTTATAGAGTGTTTATTGAGTTTCATAGGGAATCAGGCTGTTTGTTCCAAGGCTTTCTGCTTTGTGAGGCTTCATACGTAGTGTTTTGTTGTTATTATTATTATTAGTATTAGTAATATTATTATTTTTATTTTCTATTTATTACTCGGTTATGGATAGAGCTTTTTCAGCGTTGAAGGGACGGTAACTGTAACCCACTGCACAGTTGGCAAAGGTTGCGAAGGTTTCTTAATTTTGGTGTCCCCAACATTTGCAGGGGTTAGCATGTAATGAGGATCCTGCTGCTCATCTCCAGTACCCTGAGGCCCCAAAGTAGTTCCTTTTTGGGGCTCCTATATAGAATCCTACAATCCCAAAAAGGAACTACTTCGGGGCCTCAGGGTAATTATATCCGAGGCCGAGGTTCCCCACGTTTCTGAACCTCGGACGTCACGCACAAACCTAGCACATACCTGAACCCCGGAGAACCTACATGTTTAAGGACTTCTAGAAAGAGATCAAAATGAGGAATACTTAAGGTAGGTTATTGAGGATTAAGGTAGATCCTAAGGACTTATAGAAAGAAATCATAATAAGGAATCCTAAAAAGGTAGGTTATTCAGGGTTAAGGTAAACCCCAAACCCTATAAAGCCTAAACCCTATAAACCCTAAACCCTATAAACCCTATAAGCCGTATAAACCCTATAAACCAGGGTTAAGGTAGATCCTGGGGCCTTTGCTTGCGTTGGGCTCAACATGCGAGGCACCTGGGCGCTTCTATGGCGGCCACTTGCCGCGCCACGCTGTGGACGGAGGCTCTTAAATGTAGGCCCCTGATGTATGTAAGGGTTTTATAGGGTCTTGGAGGGCATTCCACTGTAATATACCTTCGTATCATGAGAGCTTTACAAAGACGAAAGCTTTACGTTTTTGTCGAACGATTACCCGGAGGTTGGAGCACCTCTGGTCAAATGGACCGTTTAGGCAGAAAGGTACGAGTTGTGAGGTCCCGCAGAAACCGTAGACAACACTTTTGTGGACTATGGGACCTTGCCACAATTAAGATTGCGGTGTAGGGAGCGATTTAGGCTTGAGGTTTACGGTTTAGGGGTTGGGGGGTCCCTTGGGAAGCCAGTGATTCGCACGAGGTATTGGGCCTTTTGCACCGTTGGCACCTGCACCGTCTCCACCCGGACGCCATCGTGTCGCAGCCTCAGCAGTGGCTTGAAGAAGCCGAGGAAGGCTTTTTGGAGCAGTCGAAGTTCTGCAGCATGTGATTTGTCAGGTATGGCATTGCAGCCAATGCATGTCGAAAGGGTGCATCTTGGCTTGGTGCGCTGCAAGTGATGGACGACATGGAGGCAGCGGCCTTTGGGATTTTTACAGCCATGGCTTCACCTGCTGATTGAATCCCTGTGAGGCTGCGTACCTGCAGAGAGACCTCGTCACCATGAACACCTCCTTGCGAGCCATGGTGGATGCTGCGAAATGGCGTCAAGCATTGCAGCTGTTGAAGCATATGGTGAATTCGATGAGGGTTGATGTTGTGTCCTTTACGGAGGGTATAGCTGCATGTGGCGCAGTGGCGAGGTGGCAGCAAGCGATGTCACTGCTAGTCTTGGCCGATGAACAGATGGTGGCACACGACTCCCACAGCTATAATTCTGCCATAGCCGCATGTGATGGTGCCTCCTGTTGGACCATCGCACTACTGCTTGCCGACGACATGCGTCGAAGGCAAGTGCAGCAAAACCTGGTGAGCATGAATTCGTGTATTAGTGCTGCAAGCAATGCGGCTGCTTGGCCAGTGGTGGCAGCACTTTTTCAGAAGCTGCCCGACATGCTCATTAGACCCGACGACATTACGTACGGGTCGGTCATCAATGCGTTCCAAAAAGCTGCACGCTGGCAGATGGCCCTGCACTTCATGGCCCTGTGGCAAGGGCGAGGCTCAGCGCGGTGGACCCAAGCGAGGATGAACATGTCGAACTCCTTGAGACACCAATAGGCCCCTGCGCGCCAGCGAGCTTTTTGAGATTGAGTGTCCTTGCCCCTGGAAATCTTGTGCAGCCACTTCGACGTTCAGCGTCTGCTACTGCAGTCCAGCGACCGTACATGTTTGCTTCTTGGCAAATGTCTTGGCGGTTGACCCGCGCAGCTCTAAAGCCTAAGCCCGGATAACATGGTTCGAAAGCAGCCCTTAAGGCTCAAAGCAGCCCGATCGAAAATACATCCCAAAACCATACAGACACTCACAAACACCAAACCCGGCAGTAGGATCAAGCTAGCTAACCCTAGGCTCCAGTTACCTGCATGGTTACTAACCATATATGATATACCCTAGTAACCTACTATTTACGTAACTAGAGCCTTACCCAGAGGCTCCATAGTAGTTCCTTTTCGGGATTACCTTATAGGATTATATATATATATATATATATATATATTTTTATATGAACCCCAAAAAGGAACTAGGGTTAAAGAAACAGCCTACCAGAGCTCCTTCTCGTACACATGTGCTGGCACAATAACTTGCCACACACCAGTGTCTTACTAGGGTGCCTCACAGGTCCTTTGTAAGGCCGAGCATGTGCTGCTTGAGCCCTTGAAAGTGTATAACCTTTGGAGGTTTAGTGTTTTGCGTGTTAGGGCTTGCGGGTTTTAGGTAGGCCTACGCTTTAAGGTGTTACGATTGGGGCTGGAGTAAGCCGCAATGGTATTCGGATGCCACTTGCGTCGGTTTGGCGGGAGTGCAGATGATCAGTACCCTGCGACTGGCAAATGCGCTTACGCTGTTTCGCGGCTGAGTCTGGTAGCGATCAACTGGGGGATATTCGGTCTCATTCCTACTTTTGCGCGCCTGCTTTGTTCTAACCGGAAATTAACAACAGTCTCAAATTTCTAGCCTGGGCTGAATAAGAATCTGCCAACAGAACTGCATGCGATCTCAGTAAGAGCCCCGTAAGATGCTGGTTCCATTGATTCTCAGGCTTCGCGCGTTCGTGGCGGATGCTGTCGGCTTCCGGGCGACATGCAGTGCTCGGGATTTTTGTCCTTTTGAGTTCACTGCTTTACTCATGACGGAATCAATAGATTAGGTAGATAGAGAGATGGACATGGATAGATTGGCAGTTGGATAGATAAAAGGTAGGTAGGTAGATACATGGATACATAAGGATATATCGGTAGATAGGTGCACATGTACACATGTGTTCTCGCTGTTGTAATGCGAGTACATGTAGTGCCATGTCTGAAAAAGGTGTTTTCACGTCCATCCGTCCGTCCGTCCGTCCGTGCATCCGTTGGTCCGTCCGTCCGTCCGTCCGTCCGTCCGTCCGTCCATCCATCCATCCATCCATCCATCTCTCTACTTGCCTACCTACCTACCTAGCCAGCTATCTATCGGTGTATGGTTTACTTATCGTTATCTATCAACATCTATCTATCCATCTATGGATTTTTTTTCTGTTCGTCTATACTTGTTGTGTGGTTGATTCTTCTGATTTTCTCTCTGCTTTCGATGGAAATTTGTGCCCAAGCCGAGGTCTAAATGCCGTGGATTGCGAACAAGCCACAGCTGAATCGTTCTTAGACCCTGGCCGCAAATCTTAAAGGAAACCTAAAGGAACCCCGCATAAACCCCTTAATATCAACCTGTGGCACAAAAAAAGGGTTCAGGGCTTTAGGTTGATTTTGCTTTTGGTTTCTGTTGCTAGGGCTAATGGCTTCGGGTTGGAGGGTTTAGGGCTTCGGAGGTTCGTGGGGTTTAGGTTTTAGCAGGATTCCGCAAGGTACCTCTAATAAGTAGCTAGGATGCCCAGTAGTACCCTTATTTTTCTTTTTGTAGTCCTAGGTTCCTTATAAAGTTACCCAATACCAAAAAGAGAGGCCTTTTTGTTCTTAGGTTACTGGGTATCCTAGGCATGTTCCCGCAAGGTACCTCTAAGTAGTAATCGAGGCAAACTCGTCTTTCATAATGGGTATTACGGTTGATGATATAAATCCTGCGTTACCCACAATAAGAAATGTACCATAATTCCCTTAGGTTAGGGTCCTTAAGGTAATGCCGGATTTATATCATCAACCGTAGTACTATGTTTCAGCTCAGGGTAGTCAGAGGTCTAGGCAAAGCCAGAGCGCCACTGTGCCTTTCAACACCGACATCGCCCGAGAATCAACGAACAAAGCAACTGCGCCCTCTTTTGCCAGAGTACCTGGGATACTCTAGATAGGTGTCAGGATGCATTGTCCTGGTAGTCGCGACCATGATGCACATGGTATCTGCAACCATACCAAGTCGTAAGCATAGTCCCTTGTAGTCCCTACATTAATATAACACAACAAGCAAGCCCCATTCCAGTAATTATTAAGGCCCCTACATTCGCGCCCAATCAGGAACGTGTGTTGCCACACTCCGGAGCTCCTGTACTGGGACGTCCCGGCGAGAACCTTGAGAAGACCTTTGCAATCTCAGAGAAGCAGCAGCTTGCACTGCCATGGGCTCCAGTTACTTAAGTAGCAGGTTGCTAGGGTACATAATACATGGCCCTAAACCCTAAACCTTAATGGTTATAGCAACCTATCTATTTAGGTAACTAGAGCCCTAGGGACTGCCATGGTCGAATCTTGAGTATGTTGCGCCAAGAAGACCCTGAACCGATGCCAAACCTTACACCCTTAATCTGGAGGATGTTGCCAGAATCCTTGCAGTTCAGGTTGTTGGGCTGCCAGGAGGCTGGTTTCGTGCCGTGGCGATTTGGCCATGCGTTGATCTGCGTGGCAGCAGCGTGTGACACCGTGTCTGGACCGCATTTGTGCAAGAGGATGACAGTCAACGCCATGACACTGACGCCAGCCTAAAGCGCGCGTCGCATGGGTTCGACTCGACATGATAATCTCACGGAGCAGGGCGATCTTCAGCGACATCGAAAGCTTTCTGACGCTTGGCAACGGCGCGACGGGCACGGCGACTGCTGCAAATACTCGTACGAGACACTTCGCGATCTGACCCTCCTGCAACAACGATAACACTAGGGGTCGACAATAAGTTCGTGCGAATGCGTATGGCCGATGTTTGCCGATGCTGGAGTCTCTCATTATCGCACCCGCCGCAAGAAGCGAATGGCAATGTCCCGTGATTCATCGTTGCAGTTTGCACCGACTTTCAAACTCTGTGCAAACCGCTAGCAAGAGACGATTGGTTGTGAGGAACCAAGATTTTGGTTGCCACGAGATCCTAGCATATATCCTAGCTGTTTGGATGCTCGATACAACTTGACTCTGGTACGGCCGGGAAACCATTTCCTGGCCGCAGATTCAAAGATGTCAAAAGTTCCGCAGAAGAAGCGCAGTCATTCGGGAAGCGCTGCGTGCTGATCGGACGACGGAACAACACAGCTGCGCTGAAATCCCCCCGGTGTTTGCTATTGAGTTGCCCTAGGGCTCCAGTTACCGTTAACTAAACAATAGGTTGGTTACCAGCCATATATTATGTAAGGGTAGCCTATTATTTAGGTAACTGGAGCCCTAGGGTTATGGATGTTTCGACATGTTTCGGCCATGGGCACATCTGTCGATCCCAGCGGAAACAAGGGATCTTTCGCCGATGATTGTTCTCAAAAGCGGCCAACCAACTGTAATCGTTGTTTCGCCCGCAGTGGCACACTGACTTGCGCCAGGAAAGTCGCAGGCTGTGTGGCCCGCAGGTGACGGCGAAAACACGGCCACACCACCGGTGCCGAAATTATCACCACAGCAGCAATCTCCACGTTGTGGTTGCCGTCACTGGCGTGCTGCCTGAAAACATTTCTACTATGACACATGTGTTGCCTGCTATATCCCGTCAATAATAAGCCAAATTCCTAACACATCCGGACAAAACTGCAGCCGGAATTTGGCAGAAGGCTCCATTGCACAACAACAGGTGAGCTCGCCCGGCAGTGTCAGCTTTTGGCGGAAAGAGCAAACAGTCCGCAGCCACGAACGAACGCTGTTCCATGTTGCTCGCACACCCGCTGCACCAATGTAATATCGCTGTTCACTTCTTCAGTCCAAGGCCGAGATCAGGCAGCTTTGCTCGACGATATCCTTCCGAACACGCTTCCGAAATCTTGTGGAATGTTCATCCGTCTTCGTGCGAGCATGATAATTATCATAAGGAATCAGCATTGATGTTGTTTGATTCGAAACAAAATTCCACCAACACATCTACGTTTAGTCGTACGTTGCTGTGTGTGATGTGTGCGAAGTGCTTGTTCGTTTCGCCACAACAGCACGGCGATACCAACCCAAATGTTTCTCCGGCGATGAGCGCAAAACGGTATCCTTCCCGCGGGCGGACGGCATTCCGGCAACGCAACCTTAATCACTGGTCGCGGAAACGAAGACATCACAGCAGCGACAACATGTCCACCAGCGACCATGAGTCATGGTCAAGTTGTGAACAATGAAGGTCCATATTGTTCGGTACCGACTTGATTGTCGTTGCGAAGATACATTCGCGACGATCCATCGCACCGCGGTACAATGTTTGCCGCTCACAACGAGCTCGCGTCCATTCACATATACAGATACAGGCATCTCACATCTCACACGCGGCAGCCACCAGACTACGCCAATCAACACTGGTAGCACGAGGAAGTGTTGATGTGACGCGAGTCGACATAGTGCATTTGCCATCGCAATCAGTGTGACTACGTCGGATACGGACTCACCACGGCCAATTCGCCCCAAAACTGCAGATGAAGGCCATCCGTGTACGCGAAGACACTGGTGGCTTCTCTGACCACGCTTGGCACGTTAAGTGGCGGATGTTAAATGAGTCTTTCGCCGACAAACCGGCACTACGAATTTATCACGCCGACCGTACATGTAACCGTTCACATGTTTCCCTGCGCCGCAATTGACGGGTTACCACTCGACATATCTTGACATCTTTTGCCACATTTCTTTCGCTCACGTCTCCGACCGCTGATCTCCCCGAAGGCTTTTGCGTGTTGAAAGCCTCGC